TCTTATAAGAAAGCCCGCTTCGGTCATCGTGTGAGGTTGTATCTGAAGACAACTTCTTTTGGAAATTGTGGTTTCTACATGGTCGTGTTCACAACGGCGAGTCCTGACCATTGGTATATCGAATAAAGGCGCTAGGGAGTTTGAGCCAGGTCGCAAGAGTGCTTGCATGAAAGAGCAAGCAGAAGCAAATTGATCCGGGACAAATCCAAGTGGTTCCAGAATCTTGTGCAAATTTTTCTGGTGTTTTGATAGGATCTGTAAGACATTTTTCTCCATATGTTGAAAGATGGATCGCTTTGTGAGATGATCATAGAGAACATGTGTCAATTCGGTCCCGTTAACCGTAGCATAAAAACTCCAGCATGGCCCAAAGAGTGCGTATATAGACTCGAGCGTCGCGCTTTGCCAACATCTGTTGGTAGTACCTTTGCGCACACCTTTGGTGTACGACTGATATGTGGTCAAGCTTGCACGGTCGATGTTTTGTGAACCTTTTGGGCGACCCGGCCCTTTGCGTTTGGACTTTTTGGATTTGCCAAGGAGTTCATCGGTCGTGTCGGGAGGACGGCCGTCGTTCCGCACATGTCGACGCTTGGTGGGCTTTGGCATTCCCAGGCTCGTGACCAATCCCTCCCAGTTCTTATGTGAAGAACCATACGAGAAAGAAACACCTTTATGCGAATTTTGGTGATCTCGTTCTAAGCTTTGCACAAAAGCTAAAAGTTGCACCATTCCGCCAATAACAGTGCATTTGCCTTTGCTGTAACATAACATTTTATCAGCCGGGTAGAACCAAAAACAAGAAGGGATGAAAAATAATGAAACAACATACCAAAGTAAATAATAGACTCTGTGCATAGACTCTTGGGCATTGGTGGTTGATGGTAAATTTGAACGGCGTTTTCCTGAAGGCAGTCTTGATTCTTCTTCGTCACTTTCCTCATCAAACAAAGGTGGATCATCCAAAGGCAGCCGTTTCCTACCAGGAAATAACATTGCTTGAATGTCAGACATGCACCACCAATCCAGCCAGTTTTTTGCTCGAGGGAACGCTTTGTATAATTCCGCAAACTTGTCTGCAAGGGTGTGGTTGGGAGTGTCGGGTTCCAGTAACGCCATGCATTTAGATACCCAGGTTGCCTAAAGACCACGTGATGGTCAACCTTTTGCGGAATGTGTAGCAAGGTCAAAAAGGTAGGAATGGTGAAAGAACTGACCTCTTGTCCAAACTTGACAATTGATCGATTATTTCTCAATCTAGTAATGGCCTGTGAAAAATGTTGCTCACAGCCATGCAATTTCGATAGAGCTTTTTCTCTAGTCACATTAAACACCTCCATGTAAGCGTCAATGAATCCTGTTTTCTGAGCTAGGGAGAAATCGACAATTTGATCCAGTAGTAACCTCTTCTGTTTGTCCGACTTTGAGGTTTGGTCAATATGGAGAAATAGAGTCTTGAAGTGAGATTTGTAGTGTTCCTTAGTGAGTCCACTCATCCATGAAAGAAGAACCGGAAACCAACGTTCGATCTTCTCCAGATACATCAAGGTAGATAAAAGGTACCCATTATTGAAAAATCGGTACGTGACATCAGATACCAGCCCCCCTTCATATGATACACCATCCTCTTCAAGCACGAGAATTTCAGCCATCCATTTATTTTGGAAAGATATATGTATATCTTGGAAATCGAGAGAGGTCGAAATGAACCGCATTCCTTGACTTGCAATTATGAAATGGTACGGTGTCAGCAAAATCATGACAGATAAAACCAAAGAAAGTGCACACAAACCTTGCCCAGTGGACCAATTGAAGCAGCCATTTGTCTCCGTTGTCCCTTTCCTGACTATCTGTCATGAAACCTTCATCACACAAAAATCTTCGTCGCAAGTAACCTAGACGGTCCTTGTGTCCAAAGGAAGAATGGATGTCGGTCACCGTACGGATAGGTCCTGTACCGACATGCGCTCGTCCAACCTGTTGGTGCAAGATAATGAATTTTCGAAATTATCCTAGGCAGAAAACGACAAAAGGACGCTTACCTTCAAAGCCGTTGGTCCAGTCGTGGGGTCATTGATCACGACCTGTTTCAGCTTTTCTTTGTCGGCTGGAGGAGCCTTCTTGGCCTCGGGCCAAGCATGACTGTGGGTGCCTTGATGTCGTAGTAGACGCCATGGACTTGAGCTGCCGACCTCAATGTCAATCCGGCATCGAGTGTTGCATGGGATGTGATTCTGAAATCCTTTACAGCCAGGTACCTCGCAGTGTTTCCCTCTGAGACAATGAAGAGGTGATCGAAAGCAGGTTAGCAAGGTTTTGAAGACAACTACTGAAAGGACGGGAACTATTTGAGCAAATATGATCTTTTAAATCAAGTACTCACTCATTTAAAAGATTT